AACAGATGAAAGTATTAAAACTTACAATTATCAAGAACATAAACCCTGTGGTTTTATGTTGAATATGGTTAATTCAGTTGATGGTTCTAATTATGAATATTTATATCGAGGAAGTGATGCCGTTAATGTTTTTTGTAGTAAAATTAATGAGATAAGAGAAGACATTAAAGACAAAATGAAAGAAAATAAAGAAATTGATATGAGTGATGAAAATAAGAAAGACTTTAAAAATGCAACTCATTGTTTTATTTGTGGTGACGCGTTTAGATATGATTATAAGAATGAAAAGGAAGCAGAGAAATATAAGAAGGTTCGCGACCATTGCCATTTCACAGGTAAATATAGGGGTTGTGCTCATAGCATTTGTAATTTAAACTTTTGTCATAAATACTTTAAAATACCAGTGTTTTTTCATAATATGAAAAATTATGATGGACATTTAATTATTCAAAATGCTGATAAGTTAAGTAATCAGAAGAAAATAGATGTAATAGCACAGAACAGTGAAAAGTTTATTAATATCGGTTTTGATTGTTTAAGTGTTAAGGACAGTTTTAGTTTTATAACTGCTTCTTTAGATAAATTAGTATCATTGACAAAATATGACAACACAGATGATAAAGATAAAAGAAAATGGATAATAAAAGACAACTGGCAGAACAATTTTAGATTTAGTAAAAATAATGATATTATTAAAAGTGAAAAATGTTTGGACTTATTAACAGAGAAGGGAGTTTATCCTTATGACTATATGAATTCAATAGAAAAGTTTGAAGATGAAAGTTTACCAACTAAAGATATGTTTTACAGTAGATTAAGCGAGGATAATATAACGGATGAAGACTATGAAAAAGCAAAAGTAATATGGAAACACTTTAAGATTAAAAACATGGGTGAATATCACGATTTGTATTTGAAAACAGATGTTTTATTATTAACTGATATTTTTGAAAATTTTAGAGATGTATGTATTCAAGATTACGGTTTAGATCCAGTATATTATTACACACTGCCTAATTGTGCTTTTGATGCTATGTTAAAATTAACTGGTGTTGAAATAGATTTAGTTTACGACCAAGATATGTATGAAATGATAGAGACCGGACTTCGTGGTGGGATGACACAGACTGCCTGTAAGAAAGTAGAGGCAAATAATATTTATATGGGCGATGATTTTGATGAAAGCAAAGAAAGTAGTTATATTAACTATTTTGATGCTAATAACTTATATGGATTAGCAATGATACAAAAACTGCCATACAAAAATTTAAAGTGGGATACTAAAATAACAGAAGATGATATTTTAAACTATGCTAATGGTAATACTGGATACATCTTAGAAGTTGATTTAGAATACCCTAAAGAACTGCACGATTTACACAATGACTATCCAATGGCACCTGAAATTATGAATGTTAAAGCAGATATGTTATCAGATAAACAAGTTGAAATTTATGAAATACTGAATAAGAAAAAACCTAAAGATGAAAAAACAAATAAATTAATATTGAATTTAAAAGACAAAGAAAAGTATGTAGTCCATATTAGAACTTTACAGTTTTATTTAAAACACGGATTGAAACTAAAGAAAATACACAGAGCAATAAAATTCAGTCAGAAAGAGATATTAAAACCTTACATTGAATTTAACACTGAGAAAAGAAAGAATGCCAACAATGATTTTGAGAAAGATGTTTACAAATTAATGAATAATGCCGTGTTCGGAAAAACGATGGAAGACAAAAGGAAACACTTAGATTTTGAAATAGTGAGTGATGAAACAAGATTTATGAAATGTGTTAATAATCCATCATTTAAACATAGTCATATTATCAGCGATAATTTAGTAGGAGTTGAGAAACAAAAAGCACAATTGAAATTAGATAAACCTATATTCATTGGAATGAGTATTTTAGATTTGAGTAAGCAACATATGTATAAGTTTTATTATGATGTTATGAAACCTAAATACGGAGATAATATTAGAATGGTTTATACTGACACTGATAGTTTTGTATTTCATACTAAGACTGATGACATTTATAAAGATCTTCATGATATTAAAGATGAAATGGATTTTTCAGATTATCCTATTTATCATAAATGCTATGATACTACTAATAAAAAGACGTTGGGTAAATTTAAGGATGAATGCAGTAACAAAATTATTACAGGGTTTATTGGACTTCGTCCTAAGTGTTACGCTTTTCAAATCTATGGAGAAGAAAAATAACATAAGAAATGCAAGGGCACAGCAAAGCACATAGTGAGGAGGCAACTGACATATAAAGAATATGATAAGGTTTTACAAACTAATGAAGTTATACATAAATCATTCAATAGTATTAGAAGTAAAAACCATAAAATTTATAGTATTAGAACAACAAAGATTAGTTTGAATAGTTATGAAAATAAAAGATACTGGACTAATACAGGTGATAGTTTAGCATACGGTCATTATTCTATTGAAAATGGAATAATATGATGACATAGTCATCACTGGAGAATTAAAGAGATGATGACTTAATGTAGTAATGAAGATACACGCAGAAATAAAAGAACGAATAGAATTAATAAAAGAAATGATAAAGGTAAAAGAACACTATGAAGGTGAAAGAGATAAATATGCTTTGCTAGATGTTAAATACTTTAAAACTAACAAGAAAGACTTTTATGAAGGGTTTAAATCATGCCTTGAATTAGAGCATGATGAGACGCAGTTGAAAAAAGATTTTAATGAATTAATAAAAACTTGTGAATTAGCAGGTGAAAGTTCTGTAAATTATGTGTTTAGTTTTGACGGAGTGGTCAGAGGATATGAAAGACTTATAGAAATACAAAAACAAAAAATATCTCATGTACTTCGTTAAAAATGACTTAAGGAAATAATGACTCATTATATTATAGTGAAATGTTGTTTAACTATAACAAGTGCGAATGCTGTAAATGCAAAATGAATGATTTGAGTTTAACCTTGCATCATATACTACCAGCAAATGTATGTAATAAAATAAGTGAATATAATGTATACTGCAATCAATGCTGTATAACAAGAGACCTTGAAAAGTTTTTTCTTGAAGAACATAAGGATAAGGGATATACAAAGTTTCAATTACAGTTAAAATTCTTTATGCGACACCAAGCAAGATTTCCTATACACTTTTACCAGAAGATTTCCAGAAAGTCATATGAAAATGAAATTGATGAATTCTTTAGTAATATAGATTTAATTAGGAGGTTTGGAGGAATAAACGCAATTAAACCATATAAAGCATTTGTCAAAAAATACCGTTATTTGTTTGAATGGATTGACTGGCATTTATTAGTCAAAGATAAAATAAATGAAGTCTTGAACGAATTTAGAGTAACTGAATATAGTATATGGTATTACTACAACACTAAATATAAAGTATGTCTATTAGTTAATTTGTTTTTCTGGGAATATATTTATTCAATAATAGGAAAAGACAATATCAAATATATAGATGAAGATGATATAGGTAAATATGTAGATTACATATTTGAAGACATATTGCCTGACTATTATTTTAACCCATAAACCTTACAATAAAAATAAATTGTAAGATTTATGATTTGTAATATTTTGTTAATAATTTAAGTTTATATTCATTCTTTGAAAATGACTTAAGGAAATAGTGACTTAATATATTAGTGAAGAAATGAACGGTATTGAAATCAATAAGTATATTAATAAGAAATGCTATGACTGTTGCCACTTCAAAAAAGAAAATATGGAATTGTATAAATTAAATTTACCTAATGGAATAATAAATAATATTATTGATTATGCTTTGGGTGAAGAAGATTTATGTAAAATTTGTAGAAATTGGAGGTTTTATCAAGAATTAATCAAATGTACTTTAAGTATTAAAAGGTTTAATGAAAGAAATGTTGAAGATGCCATTTTGATATTTTTAACTGTAAATAAATTACCACCTTATGAATATGTTAAACAGTTTCTTAAAATCAGTAAGAAAAAATATGTAATGATTGCTGATATATTATTGATGTTGTGTCATAGTCAAAAGAAAGGAGAAGATATTAAAGAATATATCAAATTTTATATTGAAATTTATAAAAAGTTTAATGTTAAAAATACAGTGAGAGATATTAATATTATTTTTAAAATGATGTATGAAATTAATGAGATTTGTCAATTAAATTATTATCCTGAACTTAAATTATAAATTACACCATAAACCTTACAATTTAATTTTATTGTAAGATTTATGATTTGGATTTATAGATTTAGCTTCAAGGAATATTGTTTGTAGGAAAAACTGTTTAAAGGGTTGTAGGTAGTATATATTAAGGATTATGGGAGAAAATCATGATAAAACAGCGATTTGTAGCAAATGCACCAAAATAAAAAATAAAGATGAATTTGAAGAAGGTAGATTATGCTGTAGAAAATGTAATGAATATAATGTAAATCATAGAGCAAAGAATAAAGAAAGATACAACGAGGAGCAAAGAAGAAGATTTAAAGAAGATGAGGAATATAGAAAAAAAAAGCAGGAAGCAAAAAAGGAAAGGTCAAGAAATATTGTAAGTTGTGATGTTTGTAATCGTTCAATGAGGCAAGACAGTTATTATCAACATCTTAAAACAAATAAGCATAAAAGAAATTTAGAAATGAAACAGGCAGAAGAAAATTAACATTATTTTTATTAATAAATATTTTACATAAAATTGTATAAGGTTAATATGTAGAATAACTTCTTAACCTTATATAATATTTCAATGAAGTAAAATTATTTTCAAGGAATTAGATAAGGTTAATGAATATGAATAATGTATTAACCTTATTTAAAATTTGAATTATAAACCTATATTTTATATTTTGGTAAGTTGTTCTGAAAATTATTTTACTTCTTTCAAAATATGTTTTGCTATTTTTTCCCCACCCCAACCCACCCCAACCCACCCCACCCCACCCCACCCCACCCCAACCCACCACCCCTCCCCCCCAACCCCACCTCCGCACCAGGCTTGGCTGCGCTCCCGTAGCTGCGGGGCGCGACCGGCGCCCATGGCGCCTCTTCGATCTGGTCCAGGGGGTAGTTCCTGGCGGAAAAAACGGCTTCCCCACAACCGCTACGTGGGGGTAAGAGGGGGGGGTTAGGGGGTTGGGGGGGTCGCTTTTTCTTGCGTTTGGTGGGGTAAAGGGAAATTGAAAGGAAACCCGAAACCCATATTTGGGGGCTCCCCCCCAAAACACACACTCACACACACACACACACACCCATGTGGCTGTGGCTCAAAAACTGGAATCCTCAAAACGGCATGGTAAATGGAAGGGGCTAAAACCTAGCTCTTTCATTTTGACCGATGACTTGCTTCAGCTTCCCTCGAACTGGTTTGGATTGTTGTTTGACTCTAGAAGAACCAGGTTCAACTCCAACTCCAAACCACCAGTCCAAACCATCAATGGAAGCTTTGCAATTCGGAGGTTTCCGAAAGGGGGACGGCGACACTCGCACTTGAACCAAGCCTGCCCAGAGGCAATGTTGCGAGCCAAGCTTTCATGCTTCAGGATGGTTCATCCGGGGGGTGCAGGGCATGCCTGTTCCTTTCTTGGGGAGTCCGAATACCCCTCCATTTGGGCTTGTCTTTTCTGGACTTGGCTCCATTTGTTTTAGTCAAGGGAAACCAAAGGGAAAACACAGTTGCGCCATGTTGGGGGGTCCCACCTTAAACAACGGCATATTCTGAAACGCACATGGAATTTGTATGGCCCCTTTGAAAACGGGTCCTTTGAAGTTTCAGGACGGAGAGATCCTCAAGCATCCTTACTGGGAGGCGTTGTCACATGGAATGGCCCGGATTATTGGAACCACAGAAAAAGGTGGCTCTTTTGGAGGGTACCTTTTTGTGGTTGTTTAAACCAAAAGGGACACCAGCATGTTGGGGGGGTGCCCTAGCAAAAAACAACGCACCCGTAGTTTGACCGCGGTCAAAGTAGCTGGCACAACCCCTCCATTTTGGTTTGGTCATCCCAGACCCCCTTTCCCGTTATCTACCCGAATACAGGAAAGATGTCTTCATCCATGAGCTCTGCAATAGAAAGCCACGGAATCCTCCAATTGCGTGTTGCCAAATTGGCCTCAACGAAACTTGGACAGTCCAAGCAAGGCCAATGTGTGAAACGCAGTCTCTTCGACTTGTTCAGTTGCAAAAGTGACCATGTGGATGAACCAACTCCTCGCTTGGTGAAAGTTGAAGCCTGGTGGCTACCTGTGATATCACCCCTAGCGCAAGCTGGATTCTGTCCATCCACAGGAGCAGAAAGGGAAGCCTGCTCACTGCTCGCTCTTATTTTTTCTATGAGCGGTCAACCGGTTGGCAAACGCACAAACATGCATGCCACTGAACATGGCATCACATTCTGTGGATGGGCGAAATCCACTTCACAACCGTTAAAACCGATGAATGTTGAGACACCACCAATCCCAATTGGGGCCTGGAGTTGGGCTTGGCCATCTCCAGTGAGGGTTCTGCAAGTTGCCTTTCCTCTCTTGGAAAACCCGGGGGGCTTCAGCTTCCCCTGTTGGCTTGGAGAGGCTTCCAAGCCAAAGCCCAAGGGTTGACCCTGGGTCTGCGCAGGAATCGGAACCTTCCAGGTGTCCTTTTGCTTCCCCTTCAACCGGCCCTCAAAAAAGCGAGGTTCCCTTCGCCTCACACCCAAAAACATATATGCTGGCTTCCCTTCGCAGATTTCAGGTTCCCGAGATCCTGAACCTCTGGGGGCCATTCGATTCGATTCCAGTGGGAGGTTCTCAGCAAAACCAAACCCTGGCAAGGCGCCCGGGTACCGGGAAGGCGCCTGGATGGCTAGCCCTAGCTGAGGAGAAGCCAAGTTGCCAAGCCCCCAAGGGGCCTTAAGCAGTCCTTATCGCTTTTGAGGCTCCCCTCAGAAACACGACTCAAGGGCACCCCTCCAAGCTGGGCTGCCCGCAGATCCCCCACTAAAAGTTTAACTTTTAGTGGTTTAATGGGAAAACCCATTGGTTGGCAAAAAGTTAAAGTCCTAACATCCGAGCAAAATGCACCCCTCCAAGGCTTTCCCGCGAGAGACACACACCCAAGATGATTTTTTCGGCCCCGCGCTTGCCTCTTCAGCGGCAGGCAGGCCAGCAGCAACTGGCGCTCAGAGAGTCACGCTCGGTGGCTTTCTCAGGACGGGTAGATGTCGACGTCATTTTGTGAGGCCCCCCCCAACCAAAAAAAGGAAGACCACCAAAAAAACGGTGTCCTGTCGGTTTCCCTTTAAAACCACCAGAAAGGGGGGTACCCCAGAAAAGGCAGACCCATATAGTGCGAAAAGCCAAATTTGTGTGAAGGTCCTGACGGGGCCCTTAAGCCATGCGGGGACTATGCTGCCGCGCCCTTCGGGTGAAGCCAAAAGTCTACCACGGTACTCACAGAAAAAAAAGAAGTGCGGATGTGCACCTGGCTATTGCCCGGGACTGTAACCTTCACTCACCCGGGCGTTGATTGTGACTCACATGGCGTTCTTTCCTGGAGAACCCGTGCCTGCAGGACCCCGGGGAGTCCTCTTGCTTCAAAAGAATGGGACAACCAGACCCTCCAGGCGATTCCATGGAAGCTCCCACCCCGGAAGGAAGACTTGGTTCCAGTTACATTTGGCCTTCTGGGAGCTTCCACGCTCTGAGGGAGCGTAAACATGTCATGACCGTGCCTCTTTTTTCCAAGTTGGTCGTTCTCCCCCGCCCAAATCGTTCAGATGCTGAGAGATTTCTCCGTTTCACGAGCGCACCGCCCGGGCTCACAGGGGGGGGGGGGGTGCCCGCTCAGATGCTAATTTGTTGGACACTCCGAGCAAACCAGGGCTTCGCAGAGACAAAATCCGCTCACTTGCCAAGGATGCCTAGTCCCCAGGTTGGTAGTCCTGAAAAAGTGGCTACAACATCCACGCGAATCGATCGGCACCAGTCGATAGGTAGTTTATCAACCACTCACTTTTCTGTGATACCAACATGGGTCATTCCCATGACTTGATCACTTTGAAGGGGATTCTCTACCGAAAGTGGTCCTCAAAACCATACATTGTGGGTATGTGTCAAAATAGGGGACCCTACATCCCCTTTGGTGTCCCTTCAAAAAAACCTCCAGAAAATGGATACCCTTTGCGAGCAGGCCCATATTATACAATGTCACCGCAGCACTAGGCAGGCCATGCACTTTTGTCCAGTCATTCTCAAAAACACGTTTGCGAGTGAAAACAGTAAAGCCCAAACGGGCGACATAGCTAAAGATTTAGGTCTAAACCAAGGAGCCAACCAAGACAAGGAAGCCCAAGAACATTATAATCATATTGAACCAATAATGAATATGAAAATAGAACTTTCAACGTTGAGATCTCAAAATCCCCTTGACATAAGCCGTAACTAACACCGAAAAAGTCCGAAAGTTGCCTACCCGATAGATGTAAAGAATCAGAAGAGCTCCTTCTCAGCTGTGAAAATGGGATTGGCCCCTCGGCTAAACTTACCAGGGTGTGATGCTGGATCAGGTCGCTATCCACCCCGGTCACATGGGAGAACGCACCCCACACCCAACACAACTAGCTTTCTCTCCAAATGAGGGGTTTCTCCAAAGCAATGTGCTTTAAGCATTGGTTTCCTTTCAATACAAGCTCCAAATACTGTGGACCAAATCCATCCTCTTCGCACCGGTGGGGATGGGTGACTTATCAACCAGCATTTAAATCGGGCTTTTGTCGTGCCGATCGATTCGCGAGCATTTCGTAAACCCATCCGCACCCGCGGGGTGGTTTTTTTTCTGACTCCGGGCCTTGATGAGCCAGCGGGCCACCCCTGGCAAATTGAGTAGGTCCTCCAGTAGAGAGGTTAGAATAAGGGTACCAACTTTTTTTGTAGTCTATTTTAGTAGGGGAACCCTCCCCAAAAAAAAGGTAAAAGGGCACTACTGGGGGCCTAGTTGAGGCAAGGGTCGTCGAAAGAAAGGCCCCCGTTCCGCCGCCTTTGCTCGATAGGAAAATGGGTACCTACCTGAAAGCTGGCAGGAGGGTTTTGGAAGACTACAGTCCTTTTCGGGGAACCCCTTTGGTTCACGTCCATGTGTGGGAAAGAGTAACATTGAAAAACCAACTTGACGATGCTTGGGGAGGACCTTTTCCGGTAGAGAAAGGGCACAAATGCCAACAACCTCCGTGACCGAACTCACCTCCATGCCTTGACCTGGGCGGGTCAACTTTTCCCACCCCCAAACAGGTAGCCTTCGCCTCAGAAAGACCCAACTCTTTTGGAAACGCCGCGTTACACGCAACCCCAAAGTTCCCGGCGCACTTCCCCTTTGACATGGGACAATAAGTGAGCCGGGCTTTCTTGGTCAAATTTTGGTGAGTTCCCCCGGTGTCCCAAACCTCACCTAGCATGGAAATCAATATGCCAAAGGGTCGCGTTTTGCCCCTGGCCCTGGCACCAAACATATCTAGCACTTCTCCTCGAAGTGCGACTCCTCCTAGGTCCTCCAGTAGAGAGGTTAGAGCAAGGCTACCCTCTTTTGCTGTAGTCTATTTTAGTCGGGGAACCCTCCCAACCAAAAACAGTAACGGTGCGAAGGGCACCGGGGACCTAGCGCCTCCTCCAAAAACCTCGCCCTAGCCTCCCCATCGAGCGCGAAAACAATCTCTCTGAGCTTCGGGCGCGTGGTGAGCAGAAAGTACCACGCCACCGCCAGCGTGGTGCCGACCAGAGCGCCGGCCCAGACCTCCGCTCCGGCGACTCGCGCGACCGGAGGGTGGCGAAATCCATCCATCAAAAGCACCACCTCAGAGAATCAAGGGAATGATTTGATTTCCCTGTAAATAGTATGATTTCAACAAAAAAAGGGTTCTGATGATGTAAATGCCAACAAACCATGGGTTCTACCATGATTTCAAAGTGGTGCGAAATGGGTTCTTGTTTTAAGGGAAGGGGTGGTCGTAACCGGGGGGACGCGTTTAAATCCAGGTGATCTGTCTATGTCAAAAATGAGAGCGGTTCTCAAACTCGAAATACAAGAACCCGGCAATGCTAGGTTCTTTGTACCCCCGAATGTGTGAACTCGCCACAATCTGTGCAGTCCACCTGGTTGCTTCAACGACAACTTGGCCCACATAGTGTGACATCTGGGGTACACGGAATTAACATGTTCAGAGTCTGTTTCAAATAATATGTAGCCTACCCTAAATATAACAGAGTTTTGGAGGAGACCCCAATGCGGTTTGATACCTCCGACTCGTCAAACATGTCTGACTTTTGTAAGGGGAGGGGGTTCTTAAGCGGAGTGGGGGGTGCGTCTTTAAAATTAATTCCATCTGTCTACGTCAAGCATGACAGTGATTCTCAAACTCCTGGTGCATTGTGTTTTCTCGTTTTTGCTTTTTTGTTTTTGGTTTTTGCATGGCTGTTATTGAAAAAAAAGAAGTACAAGAAACCCCCGCAAAGGACCTTCATCGGTAGGTTCGTTGGCTTCCCCATGGATGAGCTCGTGCAGTCCTGGTTGCTTCGAGGGCAACGGTTTATTAGGCAGCAGGGGTGGTTTCCCCTCCAAAAGTGAGGAACCCCCGACACGGCGACAACACCCTATCAACCAAGGGGTTTAGTTTCATCTGGGGTACGGGGTACCCGTTACAAAGAACCGGCTCGACACGTCGGACCCGTCGGACCCCAGGCCTGCTCCAGGGAGTGGTCATGCAAATAGATCCGGCTCCAGCCACTTGGAAGAAGGCACACGCCTGAAACGCACGACACGGGCGGGCCCCGCTTCGGCGCAAAAATCCTCAGTTAACTAGGCTGTCCTCAGATCCCCCGCTAAAGGTTTAACTTTTAGTGGGCTAAATGGAAACCCCCACTAAACACTAAAAAGCTACAAAGCTAAGGGGATGGCTGGGAGCCACCAAGTTTAGCCTTAAGTGACTGTTTGCCCTACGACTCACTTAGGGGGATTTAGGAAAACTGGGGATGGGGTCGTCCAAGAAAACGAGTTTCCGCAGCCCCCGAATTGTGAGCGCGCCGCCCCTCAAACCCATTCTCGCCTGGACAGGTCTGCAAAGTAAAGAAACTCACGTCAATGAGGCCCGCCCGCAAGGTCATCTTTGAACCGCCAGTCAGGGGTCAATCTACAAGGCATGTGTCTATATATATATAGAGATATATTATATATAGAGATATATTATATATAGAGATATAGTATATATATATACACATTATATAGATAACATCTATCAATACATAGAAAAGGCCTCCTAATCCAGGCACTTTGCTTGATCCACCTGGCGGGTTCAGTTTGGCAAGTGCTGGGCAAACACCTCGCTTTCACCCATCAAAAACGCATTCACCTACCTGGGACCTACCTCCCTGGGTATGGCTGCTAGACAAAGGCAACGCCCGTGACCCGCTTCAAGGTGGAGTGGGATTTTAGGTGCGCGTTCCATTACGTCTAGCCAAAGGCTGCCGTCCGCGGCCCGAACGAAGGGTCTGCGTGGCTTGGCTCCTGTTGCTCCAAAGCTGCAAAAAAGAACCACAGGATGTATTCCTAAAGCCTGGTTTGGAACCTGTCTGTCGGCCAAAACTGGGTTTGCGCAAAGCCCGGTTAACAGTTGAAGAACCTATGGGTTCAGAGACTTATTCCGAAACTTTGGGCGGGGCTTTAAGTTGTTTGCACAGTTCGGACTTGTTTCACGAGTTCTCATGAACGGGTTCCGATCGCTGCACGTGTTCCGATCGCCACAGGACAACCAGTTCCGACCCCATCTGTTGGAACACACCCGTTTGAAGCGACAACTCGACGCACTACAACCAGTCCAAAACCCGCAAGGAGGTTGGCAGAGAAGGGAAAACTCAAGGACCAAATGCCAACGTCATCTACCCTGTGTCATGAGGGTCCGTCATCCAAACCCGGTCTCATCAGTGGTTCTTTCCTCGAGCAGGATGCCGGTTGCTTTTGGGCCACTTTCTGGCGACGCCCTCGATTTCTGACTGACATTGGCACCATGTCAAGGGGCCGCCGTTGAAAAGTCCATGTTAGTTTGGGCTCCGAATTTCCCGGGGTGTCCCTTCAAAAAAAAAAGGCCGCGGCGCTGAACTGCCACTTGGCTTGGGTGGAAGTCCACCTATTTTCAACTAAAACCTGGGGAAGCCACCGAAACCCGACATGCCATGGAAAAAATCCATACTGGCAGCCGTCAATTACCCCCTCGGAAAAGGAAATACCGAGGAATGGGTGTGTCTCAAAATAGGAATCGGATCCCCAAAGGAAAACCCCAAAAAGGGGACGGAGTTAAACACGGGACCCTTCGCCTCACGAGATAGACGATTGCTGTTTTGGGGGCTATTCATTTGTGCGCTCAAGTCGGCCTCAGGCTAGGGGAATATAGCGAGGCTCTTGCGTGCTGTCCGGCCAGGTTGGGCAGTTTGAGGGTCCTCTGGGTTCAAACCAGTTGGCTCGGCCGATCCAAGGGTCCCGGACCCGCCACTGACATCAGGAGGACTTTCTGCCTGGCGAGCCCGCCAGGGGAGCGAACATGAATTCAACACCTCGCTGAGCTGGGCTGGCGGAGACACCCTGTGCCCCTTTTGCTGTCCTCTTGGTGAGTAAAACGGGGTTGTGGAAACAAGCGGAAACAAGCGCGCCCTGCTGGAACCCAAAGGCCGGGATTGTTCACAGAAACAACGATTCGCTTGCCCGCCTTTTGAACCTTTTGAACCCCAAAACTACGCAAAACTGGAAATCCCAATAGTCCGGTCCAACGATCCTAAGGCCGTTTTTGGGCCATCGCGGCCGATACCAAACCCGGATTCACAAGTCCTCCGAAGAAGACGTTGGAACATCACGCCATTTTCCGTGCCGCCATCATTTCAAGGGGGTTTGCTTTTCTGTGGCAGAGAGGTTCTCACCTTTTCAGGAGGACTTGCTGGATCCATTTTCGCCAAGGCTGTCATCCTTGGGCTCCCCCCCAGCCCAAGACTCTAAGGAAAAAGGTTCCAGGATGCATCCGTACCAGTGCCGCCAGTGACCACAAAAGCAAGGAAGCCTAGGTTGCACACATCGATTCGCCTGGTTACGCTTTCCGTGCTGCAATTGAATCTCTCTAAATCAGCTGGAAGTCTAAGGGTAGCTTCCCCATTCTTTCCAGAGGTCCTTAGAAAACCACCAAAAACCTTTGGAAAACAGCTGTTTCTTGAAAAGAACGATGGTTGAAAAGAATGGGGAATCAACCCCTAGAGGAAGTAGCACCCGATCCCAGCCGATCGGCAGCACCTGATCGGGTCATTTGGTCCGCGCGCCTTTGTAACTATAGGAAGAAAAAGAAGAGCATTATGAGCATAATTCAAAGTAATCGAAAGAAAGAAAATACAACTAAATAATACACTACTAAAGTAAAGTATACCCAGCGCAGGAAGGACAAGCTGAGGTGTTTGGAGCTTGGAAGACTTGGTTTTGAACTTTGGGCCCTGCGGGCGGTTCCTCAGCTGGACGCCCGCCTCGGCTCGAGAGTTCTGGTGTGGTAGACCTGGCGCATGGGCCATGCCCTCTGGCCCACCAAACAAAAAGAAACGACGGCGGGAGGAGGTCGTTTCGTCCAAAGTTTGGCGGGGAATATGGGTCTGTCCTTTTTCTAGGGGGCCCAGCATTTGGTGTCTGTAGGGAGCCCAGCATTTTGTATGTTGTGTGGTTTTCCGGTTTCCCTGTGCAAAGGGTGTGGGATGGGGTTGGTTTGGGTTTGGGGTGGGTTCAGTCTGGGTTCAGGGTCAGTGCGGGTGTAGGGTGGATTCAGAGAGAGTTCCGACTGATTGATCGCCCGGCCAAGGGCCCGACCAACCGGCGGACCGGGTAAACAGAAAAGCATAGTGTTCAGAGTATGTTTCATATTTTGCACACCCTGAAAAAACATGGTGTTGCGGGAGACCCCAGAAAATAGTGTGGATGAACAAACAAATAGGCGGCGTGACTGTGTGAGTTGCGCTGCGCGCGTGCTCAGTGAGCCTTGCTTGTCTGTCTGCATCATGCTACACACCTCACTCAAAAGTGTCTCACTGTTCAGCATTGACCAAGCGTTTACTCGTCGCGTTCACCCCCAGCGTCAAGTTTGATGGCGCCAGCAAAATTCAAGGCGTTGCCAAACATGAAGGAGAAACAGACCCACGGTGCAGTTGTTTTATCATTCAATCTGCCCAACAACATGTGAAAGAGGTACTAGTACTGGCAAATGAGTCGAATTGAGGCTCCCAGAAAGCGGTGCCCCGATTCACAAACATGAACGTCAATTTGCTTGAGTCCCCTGACAAAAAAAAGTCTACTAGTGATACGTTCCCTTTAAAACCAACAAGGAAAAATAACAACATATTCTCGAGCAAATGGAAGTGAAACAACTTGCTGGTTCTCAGGCTTTGGGAACGAACCGTTTGGAATGGGAAACCACCCGTACGATGCACTTCCATTCGGTCATTCCAACTCATGATCGCCTATCGAAGCAGCAAAAAATCCAGGGAATCCCGAATTCGGTGGCTCGTTGATTTTTGAGCCTCATTCGCCCTATGTTTTTTTGCACCCAGACGCTCCAATTCGATTGATTTAGGGCCCTCAAACAAACAGGTTATGAGACCCCAATTCCAGTGAAAGTTGAAGCCAGGAGCCTAGGTGTCCTTTTGGGACAAATAGATGGCCCTGGTAGTTGATTAAACCACCAGGCAAACCAAACCAGGAATCGCCCTCTATTTTTCAACCAAATCAACCAAAAAAGGACACCTATGCCCAGGAGCCTCTTGGCAGGGAAACCCAAAGCGACAGCCACCCGCGTTGCCCAAAGCTTTGCTCGCCTCCAGCGCCAGCCATGTGAAGCTGCCGATAGTCCTCGGAGGATTAAACAAAAACTTCCTCAGTGGGTGCGGGTGGCTCGAGCTACCACAAGTAGACGAGGTCCTCCAGCAGTTTGAGCTTAGAATAGGTTAGTACCCGATGTTTTTGTTGCTGTCTATTTTGGTAGGGAACCCCTCCCCGATTTTTCTGCGGTCTATTTTAGTAGGGGAACCCTCCCCAAAAAAAGTTGGTAAAGGGCACTACTGGGGGACCTAGCCACAAGTGCTCGTAGATGGTACCCTCCCACCCTTTTCACACCAAACCTGACTCCAGAACCCCCACTCAGGTTCCGTGTTAATTGGTGGGAGGGAAATACAAACCCCGGAAAACCTAACTAAGTAGTTGGTGGGAATGAGGTTGGGTGCATGAGTCTGCCTTTAGCTAGAGCCCATGGTTGATGTCCTTTAGGTTTCCCTTTGAAACAACCCATGTTGGGGTAGGTCTGGGAGAAAAAAACCAATGGAAACCTCATGTCATCGCACCCAGGGGAACCAAATGGTTCTCTCAACTTGTGGGTTCCCGGCTCACGGTTCATAAAAAGTCATATTGTTACACAAAAGAAGTGTATACAAAACATAAAAAAGCATACCCGGTTTTTCAGATTCGTTGCTGTTTTCGTGTGGAAATCCTGGAGAGTCGTGCGGGCTGGTTGAATCGCCTTGACTCGAACTCGTCCAGTGGTTCCCATGAGTCCTCATGGCTTCCCATGTGGGTGTGTGGTATCCGAATGACCCGAAGGGCATGGTTCGGAGGTGCAACGCGTAAGAATCGGGTTCTTGTAGGGCATGCGAACCGGAGGAAAAGGCGACCCATAGGCAAGCTCATAAATTCGTTGGTGAACCTGAGTATGCCGTCTGACATGAATCAAAGGACCAAGAATCGCAGCCTTGATTTCTGGAGGCGCCTTCAAATCTTCAGCTCGCGAACTGCAGCGCCTTCAATTCTTGGAGGAAACGCCCACCCTAACTGGCCCATCGGGTGAATTTGTGCTCCTCTGAAAACTGCGAAACCCCCCCATCCTGGGAAAACAAACAAACAAACTAACAAACTAACAAACTAACAAAACTAACAAAACTAACAAACTAACTAACTAACACACACACACAATCACACACACACACCACTTTGTTGTGCTGTATTTGTTTAATGTAGCTATTTCTGCATTTATTTATATATTTATTTGTTAGTTATGTTTTAGTTATCTATTCATAGTTGTTCCTTTTGGGAGGGTCCAGAAGAAGAAAAAAAAGCCTCCAACAGCTGATGTAGCTTCAGGATCAAATTATTGGGCAGCCTCTATCGGTTGCACGTCAAGCTCAGTTCCCTTTCAGAGTCTGGAACCACCGATCCAGAGGAAGTAACCTACATGGTGTCCACTGCGCACCTTCGATCCCCTGCAAGAGTTTATCTTGTGCCGTGGAAACTACCACATGAACTAAAACCTAAAAGTCCAAGGGGATGGCTGGGAACCACCGAGCAACCGCATGACGTTGGACTTTGGTGAGAATGGCAATTTGGTGAGTCCCAGTAGATGTTGGCAAACAAATCTTACCCATAAAACCACACCACATCAAATCCTCCCTGACAAAACGCGCAAAAAATGGCCTTCCAAAAGACTGCAGGAAAAGCCGACAGCTGCCTGCGTGGGTGTTCGTGGGTCGGCCAAGTCAGCAACCTACCACCTGCCTCTGATTTTGCTGGTGCTCAGGAAGGAATGAGAAATGGAATGACCCCGAACTAAGCCATCCAACCAGTGGTTTCCTTTCAGGAGGGACAGGGAATGACCCCATTTAACCATCCCCAGGATTTCCTTTAAGGGAATCCCAAGGGAAGCCCAAAACGGTTTGTTCCCAAAATTCCGGAACGCTCCTTCCCTGAGCCCCTGCCTCCCGAAACATGGCCATGGGTCAAAATCCAAATCGTACCCCGAGTGAACATCCCAATCCAACCACTAAAGTAGGTTCTAAAATGGGTGGTGAATTCACCTACCAACCAAAATGGGATCCCAAAACGGTTTTGACAACCACAGTCACATCTAGCCATCGATCGTACTGCTCCTTCTTACTGGGCTTCCGGCTCGATGGTGTGCCCGGAGGGCATGCCGCAGCTCTTCGCGCAGCTACCCTGCGGCTTTCGAAAAAGGGACGGACGGGTTTCTCAAATGAAACCATGGCAGGATGGGCTGAAAAAAGGGAATCCGCAAGGAAAACAACAACAACTGTGAGTTCCCGATTTTCAGCCGCGCTTGTGGGCCCAGTCTATTTGCTCTCGCTGGATCCCTCTGGTGCGAAGGCTGGCCAGAAAAAGCACAGGGCAGCGCCCAATTTGCTGAAGCTGGCGAACAATTGTTCTTGGGGAAGCCGACAACAATTCACGTCAAGGAGCAACCCCGTTGATTCCTTCTCAAAACGTGTGGATCTTTCTCAAGGACGCTAAAACGGCGATGTTTCCCCTGCTGCTTTGATTTGATGCATCAAGATTGAAACGGGTACCCAGCCTCGAAGACGGCGGGCTTCTTGGTTCCCGGCTAGTGGCCATGGGAAAAGCACGTTGCTTATCAATGTCATCTTCCTGGTGAGGGGGGGGCAATTTCTTGTTTTGCACAAAGACGGAAAGGAGAAGAATTACTTTACTTAGAACAATCCCCACCAAAAGGGTTTGCTTGGCTAACCCAGCGACTCCTAGTAACCTGTATAGCTAGCAACTGGCCATTGGCGACTGTTTTTTTGGGAACCAAGCCTGGTTCCCGAAAAAGTGGGAACCAGATTCCTGTCTGACGGTTTTAACGGTTCCGGGCCTCTTTTTCACGGTTCCGGGCCTCTTTTTCACGGTTCCGGGCCTTTTTTCACGGTTCCGGGCCCCAATTTCACGGTTCCGGGCCCTTTTCTTGTGGTTCCTGGAACCAGCGGTCAGTTACCAATATGGCCGGTAACCAAGCTGGTTCCGCACATGGAGGTAACTGGAAGCACTGGGTAAGCTAGACTGCAAACACATAGGCACCAGAGGACAATCCGACTGCATGCAGGGCCAACCATGCTGCTGGCTAACGCGATCGCAAAGAAACTCAGTCGAACAAAAGGGTGTTGCTTGACTGGTTCAATTCTAGCACCACGCCAGCTTCAGCAGCTGAATGCCTTTTGCCTGCATGAGCCCCATGATCCGTAGCCCTTTCCCACCGTCCAAAAGAAATCGGCGCGTTGCTGTTCTCCGGCCACCGGGAGACAACAGGCTTGGGAGCCTCAGGTTTCGGACCGTCACGTCTGTCAGTTCCTGTCCGTCGCAGCTGGTCACAGCTGTCATTCGGGGCGGGTCGCATGTCACTGAAATCTAACTGTTTCTTATTGCCTGAGGTTTTGTGTTTTGGGTGAAACAAGTGTTCTTGAGGTGTTTTTGTTGCGCGATTTCAAACAAATCTCACCCCAAACCTGTCGGGGGGGGGGGGGGGAATCAGCGCGGCACACCGTGTGCCTCGGGTCTCGGAGAGCGAAACGCCAACTTCAGCAAGTACATCAC